TCCCGTGGGAGGCCCTTCCCCAGTTACCACAGCGGGTCGGCTCCTTTCGGTGGCGGCCTGTGGGCCAGGCGGGTCCCTGTCCCTTGTGGGAGGCCATGTCGTCTTTGGGCGGCGCAGCGGAGTTACCAGCAGCTCCACTTTACCCCTGAGGAAGCCGATGCCCAGAGCGGTCTTTGAATGGCCTGAGATGGCACCGCCTGGGTGGGGATTTGGGCCCCCCTTGCATTTCTCGAAACGGGGCCTGAGGCCGCGGCCCAGTCTCTGGGGTTGGCATTTTCAATGTGCCCCCGTGTGATTTTCTGCAAGTCCAGAAGGACTCTGCCCCCTGGATGGCGGGTCTCCCCAGCACCACCCCCCAGCCCCCGGTGCAGCCCAGACTTGCCTGGGGGAGGGGCGGTGAGGGTAACTTGTCTGTTGTTATCTGAGATTTCCTGTTTTCCTTAGCTGGGCTCACAGCAGGTGCTGTAAAAATAAATCCCAGAGACTAGGGGCCAGAAACGGGGTTCAGGAAGGACCTCAGGAGTCTTTGGGGGGGTTCCCCATCTGATCTCCTGTCTTTCTCTCCAGTTCTGGGGGTGGCAGTCAGCCCTTGGAGACTACGCACCCCTCCCACCCAGGGGTCTTTTGTGGGGGTCACTGCCTGGCTTGCCCACTGCAAATTATACCCTCCTAAAGCCCGGAGGAATTGTCTCCTTTTTCTCCCCCTTCTTTCCATTTAGTCTCCTCACTCATTATTTCTCGGCATTCATTCAGTCAACAGCTAGCTGAACGACTGCTTTGGGCCTTAGGCACCGTGGGGACAGCAGTGAACAAGGCCATCTTGGTCCCTGGTCTTGGAGGAGACCCACATGTGTTGGAGTAAACAGTCTGCCTACTGGCAGGACCACTTTAGGGAGAGGTCAGGAGGTCAGAGCTATCTTTCTCAGAAGGTGATTTTTAAAAAAAGATTTATTTTATTTATTTATACATACAAGATCTGAGGTGCTGGCTAGAGGTCAGAGATAGAGGTGAGAGGATTCACCAGAGACAGAGCGGGGAGCAGAACAGGTCGATTAGTGAAATACACTGCTGAGGGGAGCAGTGGGCACGTCAGGAGAGGTCTGCTGCGCCCTGCGGGTCAGCTCCCTGGCCGGGGATTCAACTCCTGCTTAAGTGGCTCCGACTGTAGCTTTGTAGTGCTGCGTTTAACCCATTGCAGCACCAGGGAGCGCCCCAGAAGGTGATGTTTTTAACCAAGATCTGATTGACAAGGATTCAGCCACTGGAAGGAAGCAAAAAATGGCAGGTGCAAAGGTCCTGAGGCAGGAGCAAGCCTGGTGTGTTTGAAACTAATCAGGCAAGCACAGCATGGGACGAGGTAGAGAGGGGAGGGGAGGAGCTGGGCTGGGGCCAGGCTGGGCAGGACTTTGAATTTACTTAAGAGTGTGAGAGGGCACCCTCCCTGGTGGCACAAGGGGTTGGCGGAGCGCAGCACTGCAAGCTGGCCACAAGCGAGTTCGATCCCCTGCCCCGGAGGTGACCACATGGCATGGCAGACCTCTCCTGACCCGCCCGCTGCTCCCCTCCGCAGTGTGCTCCGTCCATCTGCCTGCTCTGCTCCCCACTCTGTCTCTGGTGAAGCCTCTCACCGCCTCTGCACCTCTATATGAATAAATAAATACATCTTTTAAAAAAAAAAGCGTGTGAGAGGAGCCCGTGGGGGTTTGAGCAGCGGAGGGCAGCGGCCTATACAGGACGCCAGCACGTCGCCATCATGCTGAGCGCACGGCCACAGCAAGCGTCGCCTAATGATGGCCGTGTGGTTTTGAACTTTGCAGCCTGGCATCCCCAGCTCCCAGCTTTGGCTTCACTTCTTGGTGGCCAGGCAGCTGTGCTGTCCCAGGAAAGAGGGCGCATCAGTATCAGCATCACGGGGCTGTTAAGGTTCAACAGATCAGGTACAGATAACAGAGTCTTGGCTCGTTGTTGTTTCAGGAGTTTTATTATAATTTCTAGATAGCACCCAGGCAATAATGAAGCCATACATGGTAAAAGCAGTATATGTTTCAAAGGCAAGAGTCATCTTTGGGGGGCTTTCTGGGTAATCCTACAGCTGGACCTGGCAAATAGCGGGTATCAAGAGTGGGCACCCCAAACAGAGGGGGGGAATGAGTTCAAAGGATGTGTCCTCTGTATATATTCACTAAACAACAGCCTCCGGTCCACTGCGCCAGCCCCAAGGTTCTAGGCTGGATGCTGGGAAGAGCCCACAAGACCAGTGATATTAGTGGTGACAGTCACAACAGCCCACGCTCATCCAGTATTTAATGGCATGCAGTGATGAATACTGGTTTATGTGATAGTGGGACCCTAGGTCTCAGAGACTTGGCATACGAGGGTTCTTTCTTTTCTTTCTTTCTTTTTTTTAAAAAGATTTGTTTATTTATACATACAAGAACTGGGATACAGGCCAGAGGTGCAGATGAGAGGATTCCCCAGAGATAGAGTGGGGGGCAGAACAGGCAGATCCACTGCTGAGGGAACAGCAGGTGAGACAGGAGAGGTCTGCTGCGCCGTGTGGGTCAGCTCCCTGGCTGGGGATCGAACTCATGCTGTGGTGGCTGCCGATAGCTTCATAGTGCTGTGCTTAACCCCTTGCGCCACCAGGGAGGCCTAACACATTTATTTCTCATGCATGAAATATCCTGTGGGATATTTGCCAGGTGACTTTCTACATGGTGACCCACAAACCCCAAGTTCCTTCTTGGGGTTCTGGCATCCCCTAGAACCTCAGCATTATTTCTTTCCAGCTGGGGGACAGGAAGGAGAGCAGCCAAGGAGAACCCTCGGGGGAGGGTTGTTGGTCTGAAGTTGCACACATTTTTCTGCCTTAATTCCTCTGGCAGCAACTTGATCACATGACCATGTCCATCTGCAAGGGCGTTTGGGAAATGGCTAGGAGCCATATTCCTAAGAAGAATCAGAATTATTTTATGGTGGACACATAGGAGTTTCTGCTGCATCATATCCCGACACACAGCTAGGCACGGCTCATTTAATTCAGTGTGTAGAAGCATGCACCATTATGAGCCCATTTTACAGATGAGGCAGAAGTCATGGCCCGGGGTCATACAGCTGGTAGGAGAGATGGTTGGGGTTGGCATCCTGGCGGCCAGACATGAGCTATAATGGCAGAAATTTCCTATGAGTAATTCCATCGCTTTTGAGGATTGGGTGGGAGCTGCAGATATGGGGGAGCTCACGTAGACTCAGGCTGTATATGTGGTGACCCCCTGCAGGGGTCAGTAGGGCTCGAGGGAGAGAACTCTGCAGGCTGAGCCAAGTGCTAGTATCACCCAGTGCTCAGGGTTTTGGTGGGTGTCCTGCCCGTCCCCCTTCAGGCACAGAAGTTTCAGTTCAGTTCACCGAGCACACCAGGACCCCCCTCTGCCAAGCTGGCCACGCAGGGGTGGAGATCCCTCCTGCTCTGGTTACATGTATGCAGCTATAGAGGGGGTTTCCTTTTTTTATAAAAAGATTCATTTTTATTTAGTATGCATGTAAGAACAGGGAGGGGTATATAGGCCAGAGGTGTAGGGATGAGAGGATTCATCAGAGACAGAGCGGGGATCAGAACAGGCCGATCTGAAGTGCACTGCTGAGGGGAGCAGCAGGTGGACAGGAGCCGTCTGCCGTGCCCTGTGGGTCAGCTCCCTGACTGGGAATCGAACTCCTATCTCTGTGGCTGGAGATAGTCCTACAGCTCTGACTTCAACTCCTGCGCCACCATGGGGCCCTGCAGAGGGGTTTTCTGAAGGCTGTCTGGGGTGACCAGATGCGGGTCCCTGTGCTTGTAGTAGAAGTTCTCTGTCCTTTGCCAAGTTTAGTTTTGTCTAAATCTGGCCTTGGTTGCCATGTGACACTTCTCTTCCTGGCCTGGTGCACCCTGATTCCTGGTTCTCCATTTGCAGAACGGACTTCCCACTTGGGGGTGAGGGGCCCAGCACCTGCTGCTTTCCTGGGTGGGACCCGGACACCGTGGCGGAACCTTGACCAGCAGCTGCCCTGACCTTGCCCGGGGGGCTTCAGGGTCCCTTTCTTGTGCAGCCACCTTGGCTCCCTGAGCCTCTGTTTCCTCTCTGAGCCTCTGCTTTCTCATCTGGAAATGGTGGAGTTAATACACCTCTCCCGGGACACCCCTCAGAACAGAGGGCACCCAGCGGCTGGGCGAGGGTGCAAGGTGGCAGGAGCCCAGGCCCGTGACCTCGTGCCCTGTGCTGCCCACTCCCTCCACCGTGGCTCCAAGCGCTTCCACCTTTCAACCCATTAATCCTCGCAGCCACGGGGGTTCCATGCATGGGTCCCACAGACCGGTCCCTCAGTTTCCCACAGAGGAGGAAACAGGCCCGGGGCGATCTCTTGCTCAAGGCCATCCCGGCAGCCGGTGGCAGGGCTGGGACTCAGGGGAACCCAGGCTCCGGCTCTGCCTCCAGAGCCTCGGCCCCACCACCAGGCCTGGGGAGGGACAGTGGGGGCGGTGGGTGGCCTCTGCACCCCAGGGCCCTGGGAGAGGGCCTGGGAGTCACACAGGATGTTTTGTTTAGTCCCTGGACAGCAGGGGGCATTGATCAGGGAGGCAGAGCTGTTCCCGGGCCACACAGCCAGGTCTGGGTGACTCAGCCGGTGGTGGTCTCACCTGGGCAAAGGTCACCCCAGCACCCACTAACTGTATTCTTAGCCTGCCATGTCACCCCCATCCGGTGGACAAAGACTGGAGGACTGGCCTTTCCTGCCCCTGCTCCTGACCCCGCAGCTGGGTTTGGAGGACTCTAGGACCAGGCCGCTGCGGGGGGAGGGGTGGGCTGGGGGCTGGAATGGGGGTCCTCATCTCAGGCCCCCTTGTCCCAGCGCCCCTCGAATTTCCTTCCTGCCCCCATCTTTGCTCTGGCTCTTCTCCCCTCAGTTCGCTCCTGCCTTTGCTCCCCCCTTTCTTCTCACTGCCGACCTCAGCCCCTCCCACCCCTGTGGTCACATGGGGGCACCGCCGGATTTAAGCCTAATCTGCCCAGCTGGCTGCACTGCTGTGTGGCTGTGGGGTACCGGACTGAGCTACTCTCTGGAACCCTGCAAAAGAGGCTGTAGGGGTGCTCACAACCTCCCCTCCATGAGCTAGGGTCTAGCGGGGTCGTTGGAGGTCCAGCTGGCACTGGAGACCATTATCCAGGTGGGTCCTGGGTTCTGCCCACTGTGGCCAGGACGGGCATCCTGGGTCTAGCCGGAGTGTGAAGGCTGGGTGCACCTTGGGGGTCAAAGCGTGAGGGGGGGTGCACTGGGGCCTCAGCTCCCAGCCAGACTGGGGGCAGAGGGTGCCCAGGGCCCAGTTACTGTGGTTCCTCATCCTAGTGCCCTGTGTTCAGGAGATGATCACTCCAGATTTTAGGGTTGGGGTGCACTGCTGGCACAGTGGGATCCTCATCCCACTAAGCTAGGCTGGAACCCCCAATACTCTGTGCTGCGACAATGGGGCTTATGAGGAGACCATGGGGGTTCAGTTCTCTTCTCTGACCCTGGGGTGGGAGAGCCCCTTCCCTGGGCAGGGGACACCCAAGAGTGCTCCTCCCTCACGAAGGCTGGGGAACCCAGTGTCCCAGACCCCCCACAGACCCTCTGTCTGTCTTAACCGCCAGACACTGGAGAGCAGCATGCTGGGGGCGGGCCAGGAGAAGGGCCCGAGTGTGCGGGACCCGGCCCAGGACTCTCTGCCTGCCCGCATCAGGGAGATTGTGGCCCGCAACCTCTCCCAGCCTGAGAGCCCAGGTACACCCCGTACCCTGCCCGGCAAACCCACTGCTGGGGGGAGCAGCAGCAGTCAGGAGAGGTCTGCTGGCCATCTGGGTCACTCCCTGGTCTGGTGGGACTCAGCTCCTGCTGCTGCAGTGGCTGCGGGCAGCTTCACTTTTAGTGCTGTTTTAACCCCTCGGGCACCAGGGAGGGCCCGCAGCTTTCCCTTTCTGTTCACACATGAGGCAGGCGCAACTGATGAGGAGGCTCAGAGGTGCAGTCTGCCCAGACTGTCTCCCCAGGGGGTGCAGCTAGAACAACGTGGAGCTTGCCTACAGCCTGCTGTGGAGGCTTAAACCCCAACCCCATACCCCTCGCAGGGAAGGTGTGACGGCCCAGCTGAGGTTGCAGGGGGAGGTTACAGGCGGAGGTTGCAGGGGGAGGATACAGGGGGAGGTTGCAGGGGGAGGATACAGGGGGAGGTTGCAGGGGGAGGTTGCAGGGGGAGGCAGTGGCAGCCCAGGCTGCAGAGTGTGAGTGGTGGTGCTGCCCATCGCCCTCCAGGGCAGGAAGGCTGGCGGGTGCCTGCTCCTCCTGGTCGGCTGCACCCCTGAAAGGACACGTGGCTGAGGGTCCGGGGAGGGCACAGTCCATTGCAGCTGGTGTGTTTGCAGCTCTCGGGGGTGCTTCATGTCCTGCTTGAGTCTCCTTGGAGGACCAGGGATGTCAGGGCCCCTGGTGACCCCAGGCAGGAACACACTTAGAGAACGTCCACCCCCGGCTCGTGTTGGCTTGGCTCTTAGGATGGAAGGGGAGGCCCGCAGACGGGCACTTCTAGGCCGCCTCTGTTGTTTCCTTGCTTCTCCTCACTTGGCCATGCTGTCTTGAGCCCTGGCTTCAGGGGTGACGCGAGGCCCTTCCCTTAAGCGAGGCTCTCTGTCCCTCCTGGCAGGGTACGTTCCATCCTTTGGAGCTGGGGCACAGGCCAGAGGTGTGAGGTGTGAGGATCCACCAGAGACAGAGTGGGGAGCAGAACAGGCAAATCGACTGAAATCCACCGCTGAGGGAGCAGCGGGGAGACAGGAGAGGTCTGCTGCGCCCTGTGGGTCACTCCCTGGCCGGGGGTTGAACTCGTGCTGCAGTGGCTGCCCATAGCTTCTTAGTCCTGTGCTTTAACCCCTGCGCCACCAGGGAGGGCCCTGTTCCATCCATTTTAAGGTCAGCAAAACTGAGACCCAGAGAAAAGTAGCAATCAGCATGGAAGGAACCGGCACGTGGCCTGGTCTCCTGACTCCCGATGGAGCCTCCCGCCGGCACCCCGCGCCTGCCCACTCCAGTGTCCTGGTGTCCCCTCCGCGTCTGCTGGCCCTTTTGTCCTCTGGCTCTGTTCTTGTGCTCGGGTGCCCTCTCCACTCCCACCAAGCTCCCCCGGGGTCTGGACCACCTTCCGGCCTGCAGGGACGGGGACGGCACCTGCAAGGGGGGACGTCCACCTGGGCCCATGTGCAGCCAAGCCTGTGCCCACTGTCCCCCGCAGCCCCGCCGCCGGCCCCAGAGATGGCATCGATGCTGTCGCTGCAGGAGGAAAACCAGCTGCTGCAGCAGGAGCTTTCCCGTGTGGAGGACCTGCTGGCCCAGAGCCGAGCCGAGCGCGATGAGCTGGCCATCAAGTACAGCGTGGTCAGCGAGAGGGTGGGTGCCACTGCAGGGCCCGGGCCAGGCCGAGCTGCCGCCTGGGCACTGCGGGCCCTGGCGTCCGGCAGCGGGTTGAAAGCCGCGCTCCTGGCCTCGAGCACCATGCTCCACTCTCGCAGCCTGTCTAGTCCGGGGTTGGTTGCTAACGGGACATGCGGGGTGGCAATCAGTGAGGACGCGGAGCGAGATGCTTCCAACCAGAGATGGTTCTCTCGGTTGCCCCAGGCCTGCTGCGGGGTGTGGGACACAGAAATCAAGAGAGGCCCCTCAAGTCTTTGGGCACCTCCCGCTGCTCCTATTTACATGAATCTTGGGGTTCACCCAATAATGGCTACACACAGGAGTAGGCTGCGGGAGGCGCTGGCCCCAGGGGATCTGTGAGGCCCCGGCCAAGGGAGGCAGGAGGGGCCGGGCCGGCCTTCAAGTCCAGGCAGGATTCAGTGCCCTGCCCCACCCTGCTCCTGCCCTCCTGCATGGCAGACTAGGGGTGCAGGCCCTGCTGCAGGAGGTGTGGGTTGTTCTCTGGGCACTGTTGCCCTTCGGTCTCCTGTTTCGTGGGAGGTGACCCTGGGGAGCTGATGGTGGCTGAAAGCTGGTGGGAGTGGTGGGGTGGTGCGGAGGGAAGGTGTGGGCTGGTTGTAACCATCAGGAGTACCTGCGGGTTGTGAGTGCCTCCCGTGTGCAGGCCTGGGCTGGGTGCTTGGCATGCGATGCTCGGAGGTCAGGCCCACTGAAGAGATGGAACAGGGTCAGAGAGGGCGGGCACTGCCTGGCCAGTTAAGGCCAGGTGTCTTGGCCCCAGCCCACTGGGTTGCAGTGTGGCTGCCGGGGCTCCGAAGAGACAGCAGCCCTGGGGGTTCCAGGCGGTGAGTCCCGGCATGCTGGAGGACCTCAGAATTGACCCTGTGAGGTGACAGACGGGGGCGCTGAGTCAGCAGATGGAGGCTGCCTCAGGGTCCCCCCGTGGTCTGAGGCCCCTGAGGGGGCCTGTCTTCCCTGGGTCTCGCTGCCGTGTTGGGGAGAGGATGCAGCGTTCCTCTGTGTGGTTGTGGGGTAGCTCGGCCCTGGTCTCTGTCCTCTGGGACAAGCCCCTGACTTGTTGGGACTTGCAGAGAGGCCGGGTGGGGGACTCCGGTGACCTTGGCATTGGAGAGTGTACAGAGCTAGTCTTCTCCGGCTTGCAGGGGGTGTGGGGGGCGGACTGGGCCCCCATCCCTCATTGTCAGTGGCAGTGGGGCCCTGAGCCAGCTTCTTGCCTTAAACCTTTCTTCTTCTGGCCCCTGGCACAGTGCCAGGCCCCCATGGTCTGCCTCTTAAATGCCAGCTTTTTTTTTTTTCAAAGATTTATTTATATATTTATTTGTGCATACAGAACTGGGGTACAGGCCAGAGATGCAGGGGCAGTGAGAGGATTCACCAGAGTCAGAGTGGGGAGCAGACCAGGCAGACCCACAAGTACACTGCTGAGGGGAGCAGCGGGCACGGTCTGCTGTGCCCTGTGGGTCAGCTCCAGGGCCAGGGATCGAACTTGCACCGAAGCAGCTGTGGCCGGCTTAGCTTCGCAGTGCGGCGCCTTAACCCATTGCGCCACCAGGGAGGGTCCTAAATGCCAGCTCTGACAGTGTCGTGTGCACACACGCGCACATACACACACATCAGTTGGGGAAGGGAAGAAGAGGTGGGAACCTTTGTGGAAGGACATAGCTGGGGCTGCACAACATGGGGTCCTGTGTTAGTCTAGAAAATTCTCTCATATGACTGGGGAGTCACTGCATAATCTGGAGGGATCCCCTGAAATCCTGAATAAGGCCTCATCTGGTGGTGGGGATTGGACAAGGATGACCTGGATGCCTTTCTTGGGTGGGTGGGGTGTGGGGGGCGTCACCTTATTACAGCTGGGACCCAGAGAGGACCATGGTCAGGGTGGAGTGGGACGAGCCCCCACCCCCAACTCCTCACCCCCCCACCCCCACCAAGGGGGCTCACAGGCCTGCAGCACTCTCCTGTACCCCCTCCCCCCACTGCCCCGGTGGGCTGGTTGGGGCAGTCAGCTCCTTTAACCCATAGCAGCCCAGGCGTGGGGAGTGGCGTGGGGCCGGGATCTGTGTCATGGTGCCTGCAGGAGGGAAACTGAGGCTGAGGCTCCCGGTGGCTTCCTCTCAGGTCAGAGGGAGGCCGTGAGGTCCCTGGGGAGGCCCCTTCTTCCTGCCCCTGGGAGCAGGTGTTGGGTGAGGCAGCCTGGATGGGAGGGGTGGTCACGCCCCTGGCTCCACTGGACAGACCCCCTGGGCTCCTCAGTGTCCATGGCAACCTGGGCAGAGTGATTTGAAAGGCGGCTCTAGGGCAGCGGTTGCTAGGGGAGATAGTAAACTCCTTTCATCCGCAGCTGGGTGGGGCCTCCTTGGCTTTTGAATTACAAGAAACATTGAAAGGCGGTTTTGTGAGGGGCCAGCTTTGTAGCAGGGGATGAGGTATGGCCCTGGGAGCTTGGGGTGGGGGGGGCACCTGAAGAGGCCTGAACCCCTCCAGCTCTCTGAAGCCAGAGCACCTGGCCCGCTGAGGTGGGCAGCACACAGCACAGCCAGGTGCCCACATGCACGCCTGAGCACGGTACAGACAGCCCGGACACCCGCGGGCTGTGGGCTGGGCACAGAGCAGTAGGCACCAGGCCGGCACAGGCCATCGCCGAGCACAGGTGTCACCCAGGTGCAGTCACCCACTGCAGCATACCCACACCATACCCTCCAGACACGTCTTACACGCACAGCCGGACAAAGCCTGCAGCCCTCTGGGCACATGGAGTCACCCACACATCCCGGACACCCCAGACCCCAGCCAGACACTCGCGGACCAGCCCCTGAGTCCACGAACTTAGACACACAAACGTGCGTGCACAGGTGCCCCCGACTCACCCAGCACCTGCACCCCATGAAGACGGAGGCCACAGATGCCAGCTCACCTGGGTGGGCCCCAGTGGCCAGGAAGACCCCGCCACACCGACACTCAGGGTCCCACATGGCGGAGACCGATGACGAAACATGCCCCGCCCGCACCCACGCACTGTCTCCGGGCCACCGCCGCACACCCAGAGACCGGCCTGCACGGACTCGGGGACCCAGGCCCATGCTGGCCACGGGCCCTGTGTAGTGCCGACTGCCACATCCTAGGACTTTGTGCCCCCTCCCCGCCCCAAGCCATCCTGACCCAGGGCTGCCCTAGGAGGCAGGGTGGGATGCCCGATGCCCAGGGATGAGGTGGTTTTCAGGCTCCAGGCTGCCCTGGCCTGGTGACTGGGAGGCCGTGAGTGAATGCCCCTCGCCACCAGGCTGAGGCTAGGGAGGTGGATGGCCCCGTCAGGCGGCTCATTCGCCCAGCCTCAGCTGCCTCCTCCCTCTCCCCACCGGCCGGAGGAGGTGGGCCCGCCTGGGGCCAGCGGGCGCCTGTGAGGCCTAGGGCATTCCACACTGGTGGGGACAGCCAGAGCGCGCCTGTGTGCACGGGTCTGATGGCGACAGGGCTGCCAGCTGCCTGGGGGGAGGACGGGGGTGGCAGCAGGGGCCTCCGTGAGTCAGGGACTGGTGGGAGCCTGAAGCCAGACTGGAGCTGCCAGGGCACCCGCAGGCGGGGACCGTGTGACGAGTGTGTGCACCTCTTACAACTCAGCGCAGTGTGTCTGGGGCGTGGGAGGGGCAGGGAATTCATCGTGTCACCTGGGAATGTTTGAGACCGACTGTGCCTGTCTCCAAGCTCTGTGCACGTATGTATTAAGTGTTTTGAATGTGCTCATTTGTGCTCCTGCCATTAATTCGGGACAACCAGTGCAATACAGTGGGCCCTGAGCCAGGGTTCCTGGGCTCACGCAGGGTGGGGGATGGGCAGGGAGCTGCTAGTCACTAACCGCAGGAGGGGCGTCTGGAGGGGCTTCTGGAGGGCGGCTGCGCGCACCCAGGGCCGCTGCGGTTTACTGCCAGGTGCATCTCGTTCTGCATGCACGTTCTCGTGGCTCTGCCTGCATGCACACCTGCACCCCGGCCTGTGTGTCTGCACGCTCCCTGGCCATGCATGCCTGCCTGTGTCCGTGCTCGGCTGCATTAGCCCATGCACCAGTGCTTTGCATCCTGGCTTTGCCCACATGTCCCTGTGCAAGGCATTGTGGGTGCAGGCTCCGCCTGGCGCCCCCGGCAGAGGCCTGTGTCTGCTTCCTTTGGAGGCCCAGGACTCTCACCCAGGGCCCTTCCCAGCAGCTGGGGCAGGCTGTGCGGCTGGAGTCTGGGGAGCTGGCAACGCCGGAGCCTGGGGGGCTGGCGCGGCAGAGCGTGGAGCTGCGGAGGCAGCTGCAGGAGGAGCAGGCCTCCTACCGGCGCAAGCTGCAGGGCTACCAGGAGGGCCAGCAGCGGCAGGCCCAGCTCGTGCAGCGGCTGCAGGCCAAGGTCAGGGCCTCCCACTCCTGCTCCTGCCACCCATGTGCTCGCTTACCCCGCCCCCGGGCTGACCCTCCACGCCCGCCTCCCCAGATCCTCCAGTACAAGAAGAAGTGCTCGGAGATGGAGCAGCAGGTGCTGGAACGATCCACAGAGCTGGAGCGGCAGCGGCTGCGGGTGGGTGCCAGTGCGGCCAGGGCGGGCCCTGCCCTCCCAGGCCCAGCCTGATGCCCCCACTTCTCCCGCCCAGGACACAGAGCACAGCCAGGACCTGGAGAGCGCCCTCATCCGCCTGGAGGGGGAGCAGCAGAGGTGGGGCGCAGCAGCCGGGGGTGCGGCGAGCAGGGTGCTCCTCTCAGGCACGTGCCCCTGACCCCCTCTGCCCCCCAGGAGTGCCAGCCTGCTCCAGGTGAACGCCATGCTCCGAGAACAGTTGGACCAGGCGAACTCGGCTAACCAGGCCCTGAGTGAAGACATACGCAAGGTGACCAGCGACTGGACGCGTAGCCGCAAGGAGCTAGAGCAGCGCGAGGCAGCCTGGAGGCGTGAGGAGGAGGTGGGCCTGGGGCCTCCTGGGGGGCAGGCCAGGGGTCAGCCAGGGCGTCAGCTGGGCCCCACCCAGGGGGCAGGCCAGGGGTCGGGAGTGGGTGCACCCTGTAGGAGGGGTAGGTGGTGTGGCCTCGGTGGGCACCACGCCCCGGCGTGCGTTTTCTCCCTCACCCTCGTGAGAACCTCTGCTGGGCGCTAGGCTCCCTGCAAAGCTGCCCCCCTACACAGGGAGCGGGCAGCTGGGGACAGCCCTCGGCCGCCAGCACTCTGTTCTTCCTTGCTGCCTTTTGCAGCGAGTGGAACCTGGTCCCGGTGCGAGAGGGAGGCTGGGGAGGTGTGACCGTGGCGGCCCCCTGGACACCCCGGGCTGACCTCAGGAGCTTACTCCCTGGGCAGCGGTGTCCCTGGGCGGTCAGTCGAGCAGACGCAGCCCGCCCCTCACGCAGCCCATCTCCCCCCAGTCCTTCAACACCTACTTCAGCAACGAGCACAGTCGCCTGCTTCTCCTCTGGAGGCAGGTGGTGGGGGTGCGGCAGCTGGTCAGCGAGGTGAAGATGTCCACTGAGAGGTGAGACCTGCTGGGTGGAGGCTGCAAGGGGACATACCATGGGGGCACAGGGGCGGGAGACAACCCTTGTGAAATTGAACTCAACGCATTTGAGCTTGAACTTGAGTCCAAGCCAACACACCTACTGTGTGCCAGGCCCTGTGGACATGCCAAGGCAACTCCCGCTCGCGGCCAGGCAGCACTCGCCGATTGTGTTTCATCGAGCACCCACGGCACCCCTGAATCGGGAACCATGATAACCCCCATTTTACAGATAAGGATACTGACACTTGGTGGGGGGGAAGGCAACAGTCAGTGACTGAATTGGGATTTTTTAATTAAAGTTTTTTTTTTTTTAAAGATTTTTGTATGCACACAAGAACTGGGGTGCAGGTCAGGTGCAGGGGGTGAGAGGACTCACCAGAGGCAGAGTGGGGAGCAGAATAGGCAGATCAAGGAAGTCCACTGCTGAGGGGAGCAGCGGGCGAGACAGGAGAGGTCTGCCGCGCCATGGGGGTCACCTCTGGGGCGGGGAGCGAACTCGTGGTGCAGTGGCTGCAGGAGCTTCATAGTGCTGCGCTTTGACCCGTTGCACCACCAGGGAGGCCCTCACCTTCTTTCTTTATGATGCTTTTGAATCAGGATCCAGCCTGTGCCGGATTGATGTGTAATTTTTGAAGCCTCTTCTGGTTTGTCTGGGGAGCTGGATAGTGATTCTGAAGAGACCCTGTGGTCTGGAGTCTCTGATGCCCTGGAACGCCTGTGTGTCGCGTGGATGTTGCATCTGAGGCTTGGTCAGATCCTGCTTGGGGTTTTATTCGAGAGTCAGTGAGCTAGCTGCACGAGACTCCCCGCGTGCCTGCGCTCTCCCAGTAGAGACCTCTTACGCCCGTGGCCCTTGTGCGTGGGGAGCTTGGATGCTCAGTGCCGAGAGCCCCGTTCTGCAGAGATGGCAAAGCTGTGACAGTCTCACTCTCACTTCTTCGTGTGTTATCTGGATCCACTTCCGCTTGGTTTTAGCTCCCCAGTGGCCCCACGCATTCAGTGAGGACAAGGATTTGACCAATTTGACATATTTCAAATAAGTTTTGTTTTCATCAGCATTTACAAATTTAACATTTTCCTTTTGAAGAATCACATATTCACAAGGTTCAAATTTTGAAAAGGTGTAAGTGAAGAGTCTGTACCCGACACTCCTCTCCCATCCCGGAGTGATGACAAGTTTTCTAAGTGACCATCCAGGGTTATTTCATGTGAACAAGTACAACAGGTCTCTCTCTGTCTCTCTCTCTGTCTCTCTCTCTGTCTCTCTCTCACACACAATTTGTTAGACTCCTGATAGAATTTCATCTTGGCAATTCTTGAAGTTGTTTTCTAACTGTGCTAACTGGGCAGTGGCTTCATATCGACCCTCTGCGTTCATTTTTCTTGACTACATAGTATTCCTCTGAATGGATGTACTATCATTTATTTTGAAACAGCCCGCTTTAGATAACCACTAAGGTTGCTACAGGATTTCTGAGAGGAGCAGTGCTGAATGGCATCACCTTACATCCCTGTCATTCTCCTTGCTTTTGGGATTTCTGAAGGATAAATTCCTAGTGGATTTTAAGTTCCTGGTGGATCAGAGGGCCTACCCACTTATAATATTCAGAGCTCTTCCTAATTGCACTTAACCTGTGGTTTCACCCACTTACCCACCTGCCTGCCCACCGTGTGGAGAAGAGCCTGTTCTCTTCAGCCTCACCCACTAATTTAGCTTTTGGGCCCACCCCCTCAGCCCATCTTCATCTGGTGTTCTCTCCTCCAGGGACCTACTACAGGTGGGAGGGGAGCTGGCCCGGACCTCCCGAGCCATCCAGGAGGCGGGCCTGGGGCTGAGCGCAGGCCTGCGGCTGGCCGAGAGCCGGACCCAGGTGGCCCTGGAGAAGCAGGCCCTGCTACAGGCCCAGGTGGAGGAGCAGCTGCGGGACAAGGTTCTTCAGGAGAAGGACCTGGCCCAGCTGCAGGCACAGAGCAACTTGGACAAGGCTGACCTGAGCGCCAGGTGGGTGCCCAGGAAGCACCATGCAGGGCAGGTGTCCCTGAGATGCGGGGAGGACGGTGTTCACCAGGAACGAACCCTCTTGTCCAGGAGCTCAGCCAGCCTTCCCAGGTGTCCCACTTGGCGTGGGCGAGACAGAGTGAGGGGGCTTTCCCCAGGGAGTCTCACAAACAGCTCATCCCTTGACATCAGGTCTTTTGCTCCTACTTCTGCCACCTAGGCAAGTCCCAGCTACTTCCCCACGAGATGAAGTGGGTGGTTGTCTCACTGTGGTGTGTAGGTGAGGAGTTGAGGCTCAGAAAAGCGTGACTTGCCCAGCGTCAGACACCTGGGGAGGTGATCCTAGAGTCCCTGCCTCAGGCTTGGGGAGACATGAAGGCCACGGAGGCAGCAGGGTGGGTCGCCCATTCAGCTCAGTTGCCCTGCCCCCTCCCCCCAGGGTGACAGAGCTGGCCCTGACGGTGGAACGCCTTCAGAACCAGAATCTGGAGAAGGATCAGGTCAACAAGGCGCTCGCGGAGAAGCTTGAAGCTCTGGTGAGACAGAGTTGCCCGAGATGTGGCTGGGACTCAGACGCGCCCCAGCATCCCGCCCGGGCTGTCTTCCCCCCCCCCCCCCCCCGTTAGTTGAACACCTAGTGTGTGCCGGCCTTAGCAGTGAGCACGCTCGCCTCCTGTACCCAGGCACCGTCTTCGCAGCCCTGCAGCACGAGCCCTACTACACAGGCGAGAAAACTGACTGCTACGGGGAGATGCTGACCCAAACTGGGGGAGACTTGACTTTGTCTCTGCTCAAATTTGTGCTTGTGTTTCTGTGGAGTCAGCTGCCTGCCCACCAGACGGCCACTCCTTGAGGGGTCTCCTGGGCTGGCCAGCCTTCCGTGCGGGCCTTGGCCCAGATTCTATGTCTAGTTCTCTCCCAGAGGCTGTGTGACCTGTGGAAAGACACTGACTTCTCTGGGCCTTGTCTGCTCAGCGAGGACACTGGGGCTGCCGGGGGGGGGGTCCACCAAGCTGCTGACTGACACTCACACTCCTCAAGGCCATCTGATGGGTGGTGGCCAGTGGGGACATGGAGACCAAGTTTCAGACCAGGGCAGAGAGCCTGACCATCCTGTCTTTGTCTCCCAACGTGACTCCAGGAATCCCTGCGGCTTCAGGAGCAGGCGGCCTCGGAGAACGAGGATGGGGAGGGGCTGCAGCAGACCCTGAGGGACCTGGCGCAGGTGCGAGGCGGGAGCCCTGGGCAGGGTCGGGGCGCAGTCCTGGGCCACATGTACACTGATAGCCTGAGCGCAGCTGCAAGTGGTTGGGGTACCTGGGGACCCTCCCCTGGCACAGCCAGGCCTCGGAGCCCTGGCTGGAGAGGGGAAGTGTGGCACTTTCCTGGCCCGTCAGTGACATCTTCAGAGCAAGAGAGACCTCACCTGTCTGGGCGAGGGCTGTGGGCGACTGGAGGTGTGACCAGGAAGACTTCCTGTAGGAGGGGACTTAGAATGTGCCGCAGATGAGGGTGGATACTCGGCCCTCAGAAGCCCACTGCCTGCCCGGGCTGCACTGTCCACGGACCCTCAGCTCCCTCCACCCTCCACCTCCCTGTCCCACTCTCAGGCCGTCCTGTCAGACGTGGAGAGTGGTGTCCAGCTAAGCGGCTCTGAGCAGACGGCGGACGCATCAGATGGCAGCCTGCGGGGCCTCTCCGGTCCCCGGACCCCGTCCCCGCCTCAGCGACCCTCCCCGGGCCGTGGACGGTCCCCGCGCCGAGGCCCCTCTCCCACCTGCTCGGACTCCTCCACGCTCGTGCTGATCCATTGCGCCCTGCACAAGCGCCAGCTGCAGGTTCAGGTATGAGGGGACTGAGATACTGGGGGTGGCGCTAGGGTTTGGGGGAGGAGGAGCCTGGCAGCTTGGGGGGCGGAGCGGAGCCCTGAGGGCAGCTGGGCTTCCAGAGCCCAGAGCCTGAGCTTCCTGGGGTGGAGAATTGGCGACTGAAGAGTCGGGGCTCTGGAAGGCCGCTGAGATCTCTGTGGCCCGAATCTGAGCCCGAGTGGGAGGGGCTCGACGACGGGGGGGGGGGCAGGGGCGGGCGAGAGTCCGGGTACAGAGGAGAATGGAGATTTCTGGACCCTGGGAAAAGGCTTCGAGGAGAAACCAGCCCGGAATGGGAAACCCTTGGGAACTAAGGCAGAGAGGACAGCCGGGTCGCAAAGGGGAGGAGCCCGGGGGAGGAAGGGGTGAGTGTGGGGGCTTAGGTCCGAGTTGCTGGGGACCCAGAGAGAGGAGACTCGGAGCCCTCGGGGGGTGCTCAGCTGGGTGGTGGGGCACAGTGGGGTGGCGGTGGGGGCTCAGAATCCTGTGGGGGCTTAGCCGCACTTTCCCGCCCCAGGCCCTGGGCCCATCTAGCGTGTGTCCCTGAACCTGTAAGAGCCAGGGCCCCTGGGGCCGCCTAGCGTCCCCCCAGACTCACGGAGTTCCTTGCCGCAGGACATGCGTGCGCGCTACGAGGCCAGCCAGGACCTCCTGGGCGCCCTGCGGAAGCAGCTCGTGGACAGCGAGGGCGAGCGCCGCGCGCTGGAGGGGCAGCTGAGGCGCCTGCGGGACACGGCCGAGGGGGCCGCTCGGGCGCAGGAGGACGCCCAGCGCGAGGCCCAGCGCCTGCGGAGTGCCGTCGACCTCCTGAGCAGGTACCGGGAGGCCCGAGGGGGGCTCGTGGCTGCGTGCGCAGGCGGTGGCCACTCGCCACGTGCGTCTCTACGTGACATCGTTCAAAATGTTTAAAAAGTAAACATGGAACCCGCAGTTGCTCCGGCCACGTTCAGTGCTCAGCAGCCACAGTGGCTATTTGAACATTTCTGCTGGAAGTGAGGCTAGGACGAGGTGGCCATGGGCAGGATCAGGGAAGGCACCTGGAGGCAGGTGCCTCAGAGCAGCGGGGCTGTGCCCGTGGCGAGGCAGCCGCCCAGCGGCCCTTCAGCGCTCGTCCCTGCCCCCAGGGAGAAGGACAGCCTGGCCGTCAGCCTGCAGGTGGCCAAGCAGCAGGCTGAGGGGCTGCAGCAGGAGCGGGAGAAGCAGCAGGCGGCGCACGAGGAGCTGCGGCGGCAGCGGGACCTGCTGCAGGACGAGCGGGAGGACTCCGCGCAGGACGGTGCGCGCATGCGCAGGGAGCTGGAGCGCAGGTGAGGTTGGAGCGCAGGTGAAGCGCTGCTGCCCCCGGCTGGCGGGGCGCCCTGGTGGGCCTTGGGGCGCCACCTGCCGCGCTCCCCCTACAGCCCTCCTGCGATGAGTCCTCCCATAGCCCTCGGAGGTAGAGGCTACTGAAAACCCACATTTCTTTTGGGAAACTGAGGCTCATGAAATGGGAATCTGACAGGAGGTAGAATGTGGTGATAATAACAGTAATTAAAATCCCAATCATAATGTTCATATTGTTTTTTGAATTTAAACTTAGAGAAGGGTCCTCCCTGGTGGTCTAGGGGTTAAGTGTCATCGCTGTCCCTGCTACAGCCTGAGGTCATCCCTGGCCAGGGAGCTGACCCACAGGGCGCAGCAGACCTCTCCTGTTTCTCCCGCTGCCCCCCTCAGCTGCCCCCCTCAGCAGTGCATCTCAGTAGATCTGCCTGTTCTGCTCTCCACTTTGTCTCTGGTGAACCCTCTCACCCTCCCACCTCTGGCCTACACCCCAGTTCTTCTACACAAAATAAATTAAAAATAAAAATAAATAAATAGATGTACAGTGAGATTTTTCATATCACTAAGTGCCAAATGTTGTTTTAAGAAATTTGATTCTCTCATTCAATCCTAATGAAAACTTTATGATGTACAGAGCTGCCAATGTCCCCATTTTATAGATGGTGAAACAGGGAGGCTGTGGAACTTGCCTAAGGACATATAGCTCGTTAGTGGAAAAGCCAAGATTTGAAGCCAAGCATTCTGCCTTCAGAGTGAACCTCTTATTTATTTTCTTATTTTTTTTTTAAAGATTTATTTATTTGTGCATACAGAACTGGGGTACAGGCCAGAGGCTCAGGGGCGGCGACAGGCTTCACCAGAGACAGAGTGGGGAGCAGAACAGGCAGATCAACGAAGTACACTGCTGAGGGGAGCAGCGGGCGGGTCAGGAGAGGTCTGCCACGCCATGTGGTCACCTCCGGGGCAGGCGGGAATCGAACTCATGCGGAAGCGGCTTTAGATTCTCAGTGCTGGGCTTTAACCCGCTGCGCCACCAGGGAAGGCCTATTTTCTTATTTTTAAAGACATTTATTTATGCATATAGACCTTGGGGACAGGCCAGAGGTGCGAGTGGTGAGAGGCTTCACCAGAGACAGAGTGGGGAGCAGAAAAGGCAGATTGACAAAGTACACTGCTGAGGGGAGCAGCGGGCGGGTCAGGAGAGGTCTGCGGCGCCTTGTGGGTCACCTCCGGTGCAGGGATCGAATTAGCTGGAAGTGGCTATGGGTCAACTCCCTGGCCGGGGACTGAGCTTGTGCTGCAGTGGCTGTGATAGCTTCATAGTGCTGAGACTTAACCCCTTGTGCCACCACGAAGGCTCCCAGAGTCAACCTCTTAATTACTGCACTGTTGACTGGTCTGATAAGAACATAAGTAAATGGTGGTCCATCTCGGCAGTGGACATTATTTCTGAAGGCCCTTGGGGCACTGGGTCAGGGACTATGTTAAGCACTCCATGTGCCGTAAGTCATGCATCCTGCCGTGACTCCACAAGGCGGGGTTACCCTGTTTGCAGATGTGAAAAGTGAGGTCCAGAGTCAGAGGCAGGAGCAGTGGGCTTGGCTGTCCTATGGGTGAGGCTCCTGCCTCCAGCCCCCAGCCTGCTCCAGGCCATCTGACCATGGATGCCCTGGGCTGGGAAGTGACGTGGGGCCCTGCCTGTCCCACAGCCACAAACAGCTGGAGCAGCTGGAAGCCAAGCGCTCGGGACTGGCGAAGGAGCTGGTGGAGGTGAGGGAGGCGCTGAGCTGTGCCACGCTGCAGCGCGACGTGCTTCAGGCTGAGAAGGCCGAGGTGGCCGAGGCGCTCACCAAGGTGGGTCCCCATTGACTGCCCAACTACAAACCTGCCTCCGCCCTCTGCCCCAGGCCTTCCCACACTGGCCACAGACTCACCCTCTTTCAGACTGACCTCTGACCCTAGGCTGACCTGTGGCTCCAGTCATAAGTGAATGAACCTCTTTAGTGGTCACATCCTTGCTTTTCCAGATGCTTCTGGGGCCATATCTATAGTGCAGGGTCATGCAGTTGCAGCTCCGGACTCAGGCGGGGTCTCTGAAGTTGCGAGACAGTCTCGGTGGGGGGCTACCTTGCTCCCTGTGTCTGGGCCCTGAGCCGTGGGCCCCATTCAGGGGCACCCCGGCCTCTGGCCCTGCCTCCCAGCATGAGCCAGCGAGGTGACAGGTGCTGTCCCGGGAATGTGCGGCGTGTGCCTTCTGAACAACTTCACGGGCCGCAGGCTTGCCACGGCAGTTCCTCTCTCACGTCGTGTCTCTGTGCCCCACCACCTCTGGGGGCCCTGCCTCCTTCCTATCCTCTTGCCCTGTGCCCATCACTCCTGTCTCTCTACACGTCTGTCTCCCTCTCTCCTGCCCGACACCTCTGGCCGCCCTGCTTCCAACCCTGCAGGCCGAGGCCGGCCGCGTCGAGCTGGAGCTCTCAGTGACCAAGCTGCGGGCAGAGGAGGCCTCTCTGCGGGACGCCTTGTCCAAGCTGGGCGCCCTCAACGAGAGCCTCGCCCAGGACAAGCTGGGCCTGAACCGCCTGGTGGCGCAGGTGTGTGCCGCGCCCACCCGTCTACCCACTCCGCCCCCACTGAGGCGTCCAGCCAGCCTCGACCACACCCCACTGCCTGCCGCGTTGTTGAGCCCCGTCCTGCCTGTCCCTGCCTGGCCCCGCTCTGTCTCCCGTTGTCTCCCCGACTCCGTCTTCCCTCTCACGGTCCCAGTGGCCACTGCCCTCCAGGAGCCTCTCTCCTGGGCTGCTGGTGACGGGTGGGTGGAGGCCGGGGCTGGGCTCGCTCACCC